CCCCGCGCAGCCTTTTCCCGGGGGGGCAAGCCGGTATTTGGTCTCGAGGCGGGTCGAGCCGTTGGTCGTCGGCCGCTTCTCTCTCGCGAATACGGATATCTTGGAGGCGAGGTCGCTGGCGACGAGGCGTCGCTCGCGCAGCTTCTCCGGGCTCTCCTTGGGCGTCGGCTCGAACGGCTCGGGCTTCTGCAGGATGTCCCGCAGGTTCACCCCACTGTCCATGGAGGATGGCGAGAGGGGAGGTGTGCGGGATTTTACGCCGTCTACGCACTGCTTGTATTTCTCGTCGATGCGCGTGTCGTGTTGCTGCTCGTGGACGTCGCACTCGGGGTCGCGGTGAAGGAGATCCAGCTCCTCGGGCTCCTCGTCCTCCTCGTTACCCGAGTCATTGTACAGCTCCTTCTTCAGAACCCCCTCGTTCTTCTCGTTGCGTTTCCGCAGTTCCTCCCAATTCTTTCGCGGCTTGTAGCTCGTCTTCCTGCGGACGAGGGGCTTACGCTCGCTGATGTCGATGTCGGGAATGAAGAGCCGCAGCGCCTTCGGACCTATTGGGAAGTTGCTCGAATCCTCGGAGACGCGCCTTTCGCTCATTATCGCTTCGAGGCTGGTGCGCGAGGCGACCTCCTGGTGCTTGTTGAAGGCCGAGACCAGCTGGGCGACCGTGAACTTTGGCTCGTCGGCCTCGGAGTCGGATTCGCGGCCGTGGCACTCGGAGCCCGTCGACGACTGCTTGTTCGTCAGGCTCGCTCGCGTCTCCTCCGAGTCGTCCGTCAGGGTGTCGGACTCGAGCGACTGCAGAGAGTCGAGGTTGCCCTCGGAGCTGACGGCTACATAAGACGGAACAGCGATTCGCCTTCCGGTCCTCGTTTCCGCGCCTTCGGTAATAATGTGCTTGCGGTTACAAACGGGCAGACTTTAATCGTTCGATTTATTCGCGGCAGAAGGGCCAATGAGCTTTCGCGATCGTAATGTATAGTGCGTTAGTCAAGCTTTTTGCCCTGCATACCAAGCATTGTTAAAAAAATTATTGTTAATAAAATATACAAAGGCATCCATCATAAAGAATGGTTTTTTGCTTTTTGCTTTTTGCTTTTTGCTTTTTGCTTTTAGTTGTTTGACTCTCGCCGCGTCAAATTTTCAGAAATTAAATAACTCAAAAACGAAATATTTAAATTAACTTTGACCATGTACGCGCGTGATGCGTCCATTGAAATTATTCATTGGCACTATTTACCAATCACTGTTTAACCGATCAATTAAATGGACGACTAAGATTTTTTGAATGACAAAACCTCTTTTATAACATGTCCATACCTTTTGCCTGGCAAACATTTACGAATTGTTATTCAATGAGACGGCAATATTACTTTTTTTTTTTTGTTTTTTTACCCGACTTTAATACTCTTAATACATATATACGTATGCCTATAACTATCTTTTTCTTCAATCTTCTTAAAACTAAATCCATGATAAAATGATGAAAATGATTGAAAGAAGCGATCGTCACGGTTGTATTATTTTAATAGATTGTTCGAGCAGGTACAAAGACAATAAAAAATGGCCACTAATATTCCCATCGCAATGTGTATCTTAAGAA